GACATCAATAAAAATTATATTGGTGTCACTAATAGAAGTTTAGGAGTCAGAATAAAAGAGCATAAGTATAACATCAGCAAGGGATCTAGTGCCACTATACTATCGCAAATGGCGCAAGTTGAAGGCTCAATCGTCAAATGGGACGAAGCAGAAATTATTAAATCGGTACATTCACCGACATTGGCGAATTGCGCAGAAAAAATTGAAATATATAAAAGCAAATTGCATGATTCATGCATCAATTCTAGAGATTCTGAAGGGTTGCCTTCGGCCTGGAAATACTTTATCAAACGATTGGACAAATCTTAATTTATTGCGGCGATTTTAATATTTTTTCGCATAAAGTGCATTTCACTGAATTTCTATATAACGTTTTAATATTTAGTTAACCTATGCTTATTTTTTCGTATACATTTTTTGTTATTTGTAACAATAATTTTTATTTATTTTATTAGTCTGTATACATTTATATATATATTTCGCTCGTTATTTTATTTTATTTGTATTTAAATTTTTGTTCTATTTTATTTATATTCGAATGTTCTTAGCCTGACGATGGCCAACTGATTTGGCTGAAAACGTTAGCTTTACATTAAATTTTTTCTCAGCAAATTAAGGTGTTTTGTTTTTTGATTAACTATAACTATATATTCTATTCACATATTGATCAATGGACTTGCACACTAGACATTAAAAAAGTTTAAAAACGTTCCAAAATAGGTTTTGTTCGGTAAAAATTGGAATCTTTCGATTCTTTTCCGAAGAAGGTCAATCAACTGACCAGAAGCATTAGAAGATTTAATAAAAAGACTGCATATTAATTTAAAAGGTTTTTAAGGTTGGTTGTTTGTAAGTGCAGTTAGAGAGGAGTATAACTATATGCATTTCGGACATGTCCCAATGAGGAAAATGTTGTCCAAAATGCATATCCTCAGAAAGCCTGTACATCCATCTTAATTGTGTTCTAGTATGATTCATTCTCTCAAGCAATTTAATGCTTACTTATAACAGTTTAATTTATAAATATATAAATATATTATCTTAAGTGTGTTTGTAAAGTATGTTCCAATCTCACATACTATGTGTGCATATTGGCTTATCAGTAAATTCCTGTCTGACCATTGGAAGAATTTGAATGCTGCATTCAATTTTGTCTAGCATATTTCAGTCATTCGTAATTATATCTGAAAATGAGCATGAAAACTGAAAATTTGCCAGCTGTGAGATCAATCAAGTTTCTAAATGCTCATGATGTTCGTTATTTGAAATTCACCATCAAATTTTTGATATACACAGTGACAATGCCATAAGCAACAGAATGGAAAGATGAGATGCTGATGTAGACAGTTCAATTCTGGAAAAACAAAATCTTGGAAATTTTGTTTACTTTGACTGACTGACAACTTAAAATATGAGGTGCATTTGTAAAGTTACATTTTATTATTATAAAGTTATAATTATAACATTTAGCCAATGACGACCTAAAAAAGTTAATATTTATAACAAATTATACTTAATAAATTTTTTGATATACAATCTAAAAATACATCCATTTAACATAAGATGATTAGTCTGTATGCTTTTTGAAATGTTAAAATATCCTAAATTCTTTTTAAATTTCTGCGTTTTTAAAATCAAAACAGGAATAAATTACTGTAATAATTGGTTTTCACAGTATTGTTTGAGAATTGCTGTTGTTTTTTTAGTTATTTTTTTATATATATTTAAAACTTGAATTACTGATAAAATATGCATTTCATTCAAGATGAAAAGAATTTAATATTAAACTGGGTAACACTACTTTTTTATAGTTATATTTTATGTTTAACTTTGTTTNTAAATTTTGTATTTATAACTTGAAGCTATAAATATAAATATTTGAAAAACAAATGATATATATTTTATTTAAAAAGTAAATTCTTAGTTATTTAAATTTTCACTCCATTAGAAAAAAAATTAGACATAGAAATGACGTCGCACTATCGGAACCTGTGACCGGTGCTCTATGCGTATACGTTAAATATCGCTTGACAAACGTTTTCGAGCGTTCTGTTCGCTCTTCTTCAGGTCAACTGAAAGAATTCCCCGGACGGAGTTAAATATCGCTTGACAAACGTTTTCAAGTGTTCTGTTTGCTCTTCTTCGGGTCAACTCCGTCCGGGGAATTCTTTCAGTTGACCTGAAGAAGAGCGAACAGAATGCTCGAAAACGTTTGTCAAGCGATATTTAATGTATACGCATAGAGCACCGGTCACAGGTTCCGATAGTGTGACATCATTTTCATCCCGGTGCTGAGAATAGAATAGTTCCTGCATTTAGACATAGAAAACAAGCCTATTACACAAATGCCATTACTTTTTAATAGACTGGTTTTTTTTAAGTAATAAAGACACAAACATGAAGACCAGTTAAAATCCTAACAGACCCTATTCATAAAAACATTTTCATCAATTTAAAAACACACAAACTACATTTAATGCAGAACCAAAGAAAACTCATTAAATTATTGTATACTTTTTCATATCCCAGTGCAAAATATGAAATTGTTTTACAGGGCATGTGTAAAGCTTCTGCTAGTGGAAAGTTTTATAAATTGAATTCTATTCTAAAAAACTTTTTCTATTTGAATTCTGTTCTATTTAATGAGCTTTGTTCTGTTCTGAATTTGATGTAGTTTACCTGATGATGTCTGTTTTTAAATGGAGGAAAACATTTGTAGGAATTCTTCATATGTTAGAATTATTTGTAAATTGAATGTTTTAGATTTATTTATATAAATGGTCACTGTTGGCATATGCAGGAAGAGGGAGGAAAACTCAATATGCCCTTGTGTAATGTTTTGGATGTAACAGAACTTTTAAAATAAATTTTCAAGGTCTAAATAAATATACTAATAGAAAATTTAAAGAATAAAAACTAATCTTTTAGTTTTATTTTAACAGCTGCAGCTACTATGTTACACTATATTTTCTTTGCAGTTACTATTTGAGTATAATTACTAAACAATGGCAGTTATTTCCTTTACATGTACTGTACTACTATATTGATAATGAACATCAAATGGTTATTTAGATATTTGTATTTGCATTTTTAAAACAAATTATACTTGCTATACAGCTGTGTCCTTCCCTTGTTACTTTCATTGTTAATTTTTTTCTTATTACTGGTATGTAAGTAAAAACTATTTACTGAATATTGTATCATTTTCTATTGAAGTTTGATTGTTTAATATGGGACCTACCAACCACAATTTATGGCATTTATTAATTTTATGCTGGTTCCCTAAGTTTTAAGAAATCCTCAAATAGTACAAGCAACTAGTAATTGAAGACAGTTATTACATTAAGCTTTAAGAATGACATGCAGCAACTATTTGAGGAGGTTACTACTTGAGGGCAATTATTATTCAAATAAAACTGGTATATTAACTTCATTTGAAAAAAGTATATATTCTATTTGTATAAACAGCTGTTATTCAAGAAACCAGCAGCATTTAAAAAATTATTTATAGGGGTAATGGCACCATCATTTAAAGATGTTTTGAACTTTGATATTTTTTATTATGATGCATAAAAACAAAGAGCAAAACTCATGTATGAAAATAAAGTTTGTTCTATTCTTATCATGGAGGGGGAAAGCATTTGTATTAGACCTTTATTTACATTATGAAAAAAAAAATTAATCACAGACTGTTCACTTAGTACTTGACCAGCTGATCGCATGATCATTAATGGTGGTTGATAACTGGGTATTCCTTCATTCAGAAACTTATAAATGCAACAACTGTGAAAGGATGAGCTCAATAATAGGCATTTTGTATAAAATACACCTCTGAAACTCAGATCCCTTGTTATCTCCTACAGACCTGACAATGCCTCACCATGTAGTCAACTACCAGAAGGGGTGTCATGAAATAATTTTTCCAATACCGTGAGTGAGGCAACCTGTTAATATATATATATTAAGTTTTTTTTAAATTTTAAATTGCTGCTGACTAAGCAGCAGTTTAAAATTTATTAATACTAAAATTTTATACTTTAATTTTAAAGGTATTCATATATGTTATTCTGT